CGAATTCATTTCATGAATGATCTTAATTTTGATTGGCTCACAAAGGAATTTACCAACATTTGACTGCCTCAGCTGCGCTTTTTGCCTCTTTGTTGGTAAACCTTGATTTTACACAATTTATTTATTTCAGTTAATTATGATAATGTGAGGTTAGGGTATACTAGGGGGTGGTGGTGGTAGTACTAGCCCTGTCATTTTTGATGGGCTATATGCTAGTATAATTTATAATACCTAAGGACATCAGTTTCTAGAATGTACATTTTCAGGTAACAAACCAAGAAATTCATATAGTTAATGATTTGTTGATTTCTCAATCCAACAATGAAATAGAAACTTGAGATTTGGTAGTTTTATTTGTATTAAGTATTGTTTGTATTTGTACAAAAATATTTCACTGAAAATTTGTAGTAATATTATGGAGCACAACCTTGAACTAAGGTAACTATGATGTGTTTTTTTATTTTTTAAATTACACATTAGTGGCAGTATTAGAAATAGAATAAATTTGAATATTTAAACGGTTTATAATACTACTTAGCAAACAGTGAGATTAATGAGCTTCTTCCCTAAACACTTAAAACATTTCTTTAGATGTCAGAATTAATATATGGGTGATTCTGGAATCTTTTTTAGGAGATATTTAGTGCTCGGGTCTCTTAGTTCTTTATAACAAAATCTGATAATCATCAATTAAAATATTTTCTTTTCATAAGCTACACTGTCTTTGGAATCTGTCAATGTTGTTATATCTCTAACAACTGGTAACCTGTGGTTTATAATATGGAGTTTACAAAAGCAAATACAGAGATTATGTAATAAATATGACAGATACTTTTCAAAGTTACAGCATTTCTTCTAGATCTACACAAGTAGCACTTATCAGTAATGCCATCTTCAAATCTCCACATGACTAAGTAATTATTATTAAGTTTTTGTTTAACAGTTCTGTCAGTCTAGTCAGGGTTAACTACTGTACTTGTGTCCCATATACCATATGTGCCACAATTATACAATTTATTTTATTTTTTGTATGTATTCCCTTAAGATCAGCTTCATGTACAAAGTTTAGTACTAAATGGGCTTTGTATGATCATTTTTAATATTTCTCCATTCAAACGTTTTCATCCAAAATGTAGTCATTCTGTCATATACGTCTATGTACAGGGAATATTAACCTAATTCATCGTAAAAATAATCACACTTGGAGTACTATTCTGTCTTTATTCTGTGTACTTTATTTTAATATATTCAGATTTGTACACGTGTCTAATTAGATCAAGTAAATGTCTAAAATCATTTGAAATAGCCCAAGACACATGAAAAGAATTGTTCAGTAGAGCCTGAAGATTCAATTTATGCAAATTATTTGACCTAACTTGCATATATGATAATGTAACAATTCCAATGTGGCCACCATATTTGAGAAATTTGTATTTTATTCTTTTTTCTTCTGATTTGACCATTTAATAACACATCCACTTTTGGACACATATATAATACAAAAGCCTTGAATCCCAAATTATTTTAGGGTTGTACTGTTTCAAAACACTTCACACTTTGAATGCAGTTGTCAGTTCACCCAATGCCAATTCCTTTTTTTGGACCAAATGGTTTTGCCAATTTAGGAATTATATCAGTTAGTGAATGCACCTTGAATAATTGGTCATGACAAGATGTACCACTGTGTTTAATTCAATACATGAGCGATATCTCAGCAAATAGAAAAGATAGGAAGATCTTATTTTATATTCTAACTTATCAATATCGGTAATTTGAGTTCCTAATTCGTATGAAACTATAGACTTAGTATTATGACATCACAAACATCTAATTTGAACCAGTGTTGCATTCAATATACCATGTGACACATATTTTTAATATTTACTTTTAAATTAAGAAATTGAGTAATGTATGATACTAAAATTTGAATTATAATCTACGGTTTGATGCCGAACTTATTGGCATAAATTTATAAAATAGTAGTTTAATAAAATTTTGAATGTGAGTCAACAAACGCGATGACATGGCATTTCACCCTTGACCCATCTGGAACCTGTTATAATTTTCTTTATTGTTGCAGTCTAGTATTTTTTGCACAATTAGTATTTATTCAAGTAGAAAATCTTAATATTATAATAGGGCATTATCTTCAGTATTGGAATGTATTCATACAGAGTTTGGGTCCAAAGTAAAGTTCCTTATAATCTTCTTGTTGTTACATTATCAACTGTTTTTAGATTTTGATAAAATTAATGTGTCCTTTTTCAATCTTCCTAACCTCAGTACCTGAGTATGGAATGCCTCTTACTGGAAAGCCTTTGCCATATCAAAATTATGGTGTTTCATCTACCTACAGTCAAAATGGTTTAATGCCACAAGGGCAGCAACAACCTTCACATTCAGGAACTCTGATACCAAAGCCCATAGCTATGACAGTACCAGAACCACAGTTTCCTTACCAAGGTCCAGCACCTTTAGTCTCTGACCAGGTAAAATTTCATGCATGTATGAAGTAAAAACTTGTATAATATTCTCTTTCTGACTTGTTAATTTAATTTTTAACATTTAACTGAAAATATATTTTCATTCAAAAGTTTGATGCATTAATTTTTTATTTCTCAGGTAACTCGACAAGTTGGTGAACTAAGTATTGGACCATCAAATCTTCAGAGGCCGCCATCAAGTGTAGCAGCATCTCAAGGAATGGTTTCATCACAAAGGCAAGGAATTGGAGGACCTCAACCATCTTTTGCTGTTGGCCCACCACCACCTCGACAGATTACTCCTGGCCCATCACATAGATTTCCTGCTACTCTTGCTTCTCAGCATACACTAAGTGGTAGCAGTTTTCCAGCTTCTTATAGTTATTCAGCCCAGTATGGTCAACCACCAAGGTCTTATGCTCCTCCAAACCCAGTGGCTCCTGTGGCACCTCCTCAGCTCTCAAGTACACAATATTCTCCTCTGGTGGGAGCTGGTCAGCCTGTTGGGCCAGGTGTTTCATCGTCTTCTAGCATGCTTGTTCAACCACAGAGTACACAGTATCATCCCATACCAGGAAGTGGACCATCTCTAGTACCAGGTGTACCCCCATCTTCTGGTGCACCTCCACAGTATCCTCCTTTTTCAGGAGCTGGTCAACCTTTGGGATCAAGTGTTTCTTCTCTTCACCCACAACAGGGTCCTTATCATGGAGCTCTCCACCCTGTAGCCAGTCAGCCACTGACTTCCATATCAACACTTCCACCCTCTAGTCAGGTGAATGGTCCAGTATCAGGTGCTCCACTGACTTCAGGAGTGCCCTCCATACAGTCTCGGTATCCATATACACAAGCCTCCCAACAACAACCAGCTGCTATACAGTCTCAGTATCCTCCTGCTGCACCAGGAATGCCTCAAAATCGAATGGGAGCTCCAGTTGCTCCTCAACAGCCTAGACGGTTAGATCCTGATCAGATGCCAAGTCCGGTCAGTATGATCATATCTTTCATATTAAAGCTAGCATGTTTAATTTTGTCCTGCTGCATTGAGTAGGTCAAAGTGCATGTCACAACCTTTTACAGAGTTACATTCAAAATTTAAGTACTTTATTTTCAATTTATATGAATAAATTTAGCATCAAAATGTAGTTTATAAACTGAATTTTAATATTATTTTAGTTTTAAGTTCTTAATTTTATAAGGGAATATTTAAAAATCCTCAGTCTCCCTAGTATGAGAACTATAACATTTGCTGTCTAGATCTTCCTTCTCTAATTTACTTACTATCCCTCCAAGAAGTACCAAATTTTACATAAATTACTTGTTAAAATGTGCACATTACTTGAGCAAAGCATGATTTTTATAGCTTTCAATTGTATTTGTTTATGGAGCCATAAACTAGAAAATCGGACCTACTTGCCACACCAACCTGACGCATTCTCTCTTTAATGAATTGCTAATAGTTTTTTGATGCTTTATATTATTTATAACCAATGGAAAGCCAAAGTTTTAACCTATCAAATGATGTATTATATTACATTGTTTTCTGTATAGAGAATTGTCTATCTCACTATCAATTCAACCTTTATCTAAATATAATAATTGAATTTCACAACTAGCCCAAATTTGTATTTAAAACTCAAAAGCATGTGAGAAACTTTTGGATTTCTACTATGCATAATTTTTTTTGTAACTGTTTTGCCTGTTAAAACAACTTTGCTTTTGATTGATATCTGAATACTGAAATCAGTTTAAACATTAAATGCAAAAAGTGTATATTAAAAATATAATTGGAAGAAAGATCTTATAATTTTATCCTGTGTTGTTAGTAAAAGAATAAGTGTGAGAGCAGACTGAAAATTCATTTGAAATTATTCTGCCCTCCAGATTCAAGTTGTAGATGATGACAGAAAGCAAAGAAGTGGTACATTTTATACAAATACAAAAGGACAAGTTCCACCATTAGTTACCACTGATTTTCTTGTTCATGACGAAGGTAAATTTTTAATATCATTAATACTTGTGTAATTTTAAATAAAATGATAAGGGTTTCATTTTCTTGGAAATGGTTGTAATAAATGAAATTTTATAATTTTTTTTAATGTAAAAGATGTGATGATAGGAATAGACTTAATGACACAACAGACTTAATGTTTACTAAAAAATTACTAAGTTTCATGAAAATTCGGAGCTATAGTATGTATAGTCTCATATTTCCAAGGTTTAAGAAAACTGATGCAGATAATCAAGCCTCAAATAACTAACCAATAAATCCTTTCTTTTATCTCATGGGGAGTAAATAGACATTTTATGCTCAAAATCTTTCAAGCAATGTAAAGCCATAGACCCATTGTATTAAAGGTGTTGAACCCTGTCATTATCAGGGGGATTGAGCTCTTCACAGAAGCTTATGTATGTCTCCAGTCCAAAGTATGTACACAGTTCTATGAACCTCCAATCTACCTATGACATTTGCAACTGTGTTTGGAGTATGCTGTAAAGCTCAGACCACTGTCATAGCATCCCATTTGGCAATGTGTCTTCATGCCTTCATAGGCTTTACTTTTGCAAATATGTGGTTTTCTGTTTCTATTTTTGGCCTACATATCCAGGCAAAGTTGACAGAATAGAGTGACATAAGATGATGTTACTGAATCTGACTGTTTTATTCTGCCTTGGCTTGTTACCATCCCCTAACTTTGATCTTTCTTTGGGTCACGTGAAGAAGTCAAATAATCCTGGCTTAAAAGTACCAACTTCTCTTTCTGCCCCCATATTTATGGATAGATTGAAACCAGGTGACTGTAGGCTCTGCTGAGTTGTATGCAATATCATTTGCTCTGGACCGTATAGAAGCTAAATATTAAATTTATTGTAAATGTTATACCAACTTGCTTAGCTCTTTCAAGATCCTTGAATTGCTTATCATAAGTTTTCAATAAGTTCTGTTGGATGTTCAGGAATGACTGGCAAATTTTGTACTATCATCTGTTTCTACTTAGTTTTTTTTCGATTCTTGGTCAAATTGTAAACTAAGAGAATAAACTTTCTTATAAAATGGCCAGATCAGCTTCCACATGCAACATAACACCTTTGCCAATTTCTAAATAGTGTTATCAACCACTCCTCTTACGTGTAGCAGATGTACTGTGGATGACTTACCATTACATTTTTCTTTACTCTTTTTATAACTTGATTTTCAAGCCTGTCATCAAGGTAAGGTTTCATACAAATTGACAAGCAATTGAGGGTAAGCAACAATGCAGCAAGCTTTTCCAGTTATAACTATAGCTGATTGGCTGCTGACTTTGTGTGGAAATATGAAGGATGAAGGTGTCCTCACAAGGCTCTGCATTGTCTACAGTTTTATTACACATTGTTTTCTCTTACAAGTAAATGGCACAAAAATGTGTGAGCAATATGAGACTCAAGTCACAATTGCCTACATATTACTTACATGCCATTGCTATGAAGCAAGGAATGGTATCAGTTTTTTACTTGTAATCTACCTTTAACATTGGACTGTCATTAGTAATGGTGACTCTCTCTTAATTATATCTTTATGGGTGATAAGCCTTTAAAATTTCTGTTTTCCTTTTTTAATTATACTCCTTTCATTTCTTGATGGTGTAAAATAAAATCACCTAATTTAGCTAACTGTTTGATATAGCCTCTCTACGTTATTGCACCAAAACCTGATACCAAACTATTTAACTAGATCTTAAGTATAGTTATTATATGTGTTTTGTCCCATGATAAACATGTGGCAGAACTGAATATATTGTACTAATGATTGCTGTAGTGTAAGCTGAACACGTACATCATTTGTAAGATTGGTTCTAAAGTTCAATCATAGCCAGGAATCTGAAGATAGTTTTAAACATTCAAAGGTTCAGTTGGCATTCGAGCAGTTACAGATTTTTCTTTTCTTCTTTTTATTTTTTTTTTTCTTTTGGAGGGATAAAGTCAAATCCTTTCTTCAATTTTTAAAAAAATTTATATTTCTTACTACACAAAGCATGCCTAAACAGTTAATCTGTATCCTAAGTATCTTTGTATATGTACATATAATAATTTGATAACTGTGTTTAAAATCATATTGTAAAAAGCATTCTAGTTTATGAGGAAAAAAGGAGCTAATGAGGATCAATCAATGTTGGGATTTATATAGTGATCTAGTTTGTGAAAGTAAAATATAAATATGTGTAATGCATACTCTTTACATGTAAAACATATTTTTCTTGTAGGAAACTGTAGTCCTCGTTTTGTAAGATCCACAATCTACAGTGTCCCTACAACATCTGAAATGTTGAAACAAGCAGCTGTACCTTTTGCCATAACAATAAGTGCATTTGCCAAACTGAAAGATGGAGAAGTGAGTTTTGTAATTGTTTTCTTTTCATTTTTCAGTAGAATTTATGAATTAAAGATTTTAATGAATAAGAGGAGGATTTATTACTTGTTTGAACCATTCTTCACAAATATAATAAATATTTTAGATTAAGTTTAAATTTCAGTGTTTGCAGTTACAATGATTGCTGGAATAGTCTGTTATATAATACATAAGATCATATTCCAAGTTTGTAAATACTGTATCACATAATTAGTAAATGGTTAATTTTATTTTTGTAAGACTTAATGTTTATATGATTACAGTATCTTCAGATCAAAAACTAGAATATCGATATCAAATAAAGAAAAGTGTATAACCTACTGTTAAGTCATTTTAATGATAAGTTCCAATGAACTTTCCATTAAGTATAATTTAAGATGCACAAAATAACCTACACAGTCAGCATGTAGTTGCTTTACATTCCACTTAGGTATCTTGTTGGTTACCAAAGGGCTTGAGTGTAAAACAGTGAGGGAAACCATATATTAACATTAGGTGGGATGCCAATAAATACTTTCCAACTCATTTTATTCCCATACCTTACACGTGACAATTTTGAATGACAATGGGAAACATTTGTCCCAGTTGCAGTGTAAGGGGGTGGGAGCACTGGAAAATGTACGTCCCAGCTGTGGTCAAATGGTTACGGTCATCTAAAGTTCTCACCTTATATAGATGTTGATCTTCAGGTTTCAACTATATTTCAGATTGAACTAATGTTTTCTTGGTCATTTAAAAATGTATTATTTAGAAAACTTGAAATAATTTGTTACATGGTTATTGCACCTAAAAGCATTCTTTTTATTTAGGTTCTGCAAAAGACTTAGCAGTTTGAATCATTTTAGATTAGTTTAAGAAATCTACATACAAATTAAGTATAATTCTTCAAGTACACATCTTGCATCATGAACATACATTTTTATCCTCTTGAATGTATCCTGTATTTTTGTCTTTCAGCATTCTCCTCCTGTGTCTGATTCAGGTGAGACTGGTCCAGTACGTTGTATTAGGTGTAAAGCTTACATGTGTCCTTTCATGCAGTTTATAGATGGAGGTAGAAGATTTCAGTGTGTCTTCTGCAAAGGAACATCAGAAGGTAGCTCATTTGAGGCTTATCTGTAAGACTGAAGAAAACTTCAAGTAATATTTGTAAGAATGTGAGAACAAACGTTGAAACAGATGTCATTTGGTTTATGAAGTTCACTACTAATCCACAACATGTCTAAATATAACCTTTTGTATTGATATGTTTTTCCAACAGAAACATAAAACTTAAATTATATTTATCATTAACTGTGAGAATTGTTTTTCAAACTTGTGAGAGTGATTTAAAAAGTCATGAGAATCCAAGACTATAGTTAGCAGAAGATTTAGATAGTTTCAGTGTTACCACTTCCATCTCCCTGTAACAAGTGTTAGTTGTTTTTCCAAGAGAATATTACTTGTAGTCATCTTATTCAAACTGTAATCAGGCAGGCCAAAAGCTTTAATAGGGATAATGTCAAACATAGGCTTACTAAGTTCAAAACATACATTTGGTTAAAACAGTAAGTTGCAGAGATATTTATTTTAACAAAAATATCTCCAAAACGTTTATATTTTACTATCATGTAACATTTAAATTATCTTTGTCACAAGTAGAAAAATTATTGAAGCACACATACAAATATATGATTAGACAGACAAATGGCAGTGTTTTGTATTCATTGAAATATTTCTTACTTACTGTTTGGCATTTTAAAATTTGCTTAAAAACAATATCTTAAAGTTTATATTTTTATCTTTTG